TATAAATCAATGTAGGCACCTCAAATGTAAAATAAACATTTTGTAACTGATAATCATATGTGATAAAATAAATAAAATGACAACATTCATGGTTTATCATGGGAAAATGCATTAGCATGAGTAGAAAGAGTTGCTGGTGTCCAGTATAATGAATACTGTCTCTCTCCTCTGAAGCAGATCCTTCTGCAGTTCATTAATCATGCGCAAAAACGAGCTGTTGCACTTTCAGCATCGTCCCTTAATTCTTAAAGGTGTCAGCGGTGTGTGATTCTCATTACTCAGGGTGAGCGAGGCCCACAAACAGAGAGAGAGAGAGAGAGAGAGAGAGAGAGAGAGAGAGAGAGAGGTAGGATCCAATAAACCCACACTCATAGGTGGAGCACACCACACAGAGTGCGCCCCTGATGAAAGACTCCTCTTTTGGGTGGTCTGTGTGATTCTCTACGATAGCTTTCCGTGAGCAAACAAACAGAGGACACTTGGGCCTGTCCCATAATGCATTGCAGTGAATAACCTATGCTCTGTCTTGATACTTCATCACCACTGATGGATCTACTGCCACCCCACACTTCTGGTGTCCTCTTTCACAGTGTGGCTAGTTCTTACTGGACAACCAGGTTTTGTGTGAACGGGATCAAGTTACTGGATCAAGTCTGTATCGATGATAAGCGCCACAGATTAACTATAACTGCCCCAAATTGCAGCAGGGTAGTTGTAAAAACTGCCTCAATGGCAATAAATCCTTCGAATCTGTATAATAATAGTTTTTAATAATAAAAAAAGCAAGTGACTTTTTTATTTGTTTTTTTGGGGGGTTAAATACCCTTTAAAGCCGCCTGCTGACCTGTTCATATTTCTCCAGCTCTGTATGGTAGATCTGGCGGATCTGAGAGAGTTTGGCTCTGTAATCCGAATGTTCGGCAGAGTTATCGGCACCGATTCCACCAGATGCAGCCGCTGCTGCAGCCACTGCAGCTGAAGCCCCGCCTCCTTTCTCAGGTCCTGATACCCCCTCAGCCAACAGCATGTTATCCAATCTCATCAGCTGTGCGTCAGGAGGTTCCTCTTCCTGTGCACCCCGGATACTCAACACTGGAAACACAGAAGAAGGAAAAATGTTAACAAAAACACAGAAAAAGTGAAGGCTTGTAGTTGATAAACGTTGTTCCATGTGGACATGGTCACATTTGCAATCTTCAGCAAATTCACACTAAACTAAATCAGAATAAACACCCAAACACACACGCTGTATGACTTTTCCTAAAGGCAAAGCCGAAGTGTGCTTGAAGCAACAGAACAGAAAGGCAAAGGCAGAAAAATTCCTGCAAAGCTTAGAAAACGTCTAGACTGTTGAGGCAAAACTGAACATAAAAACTCCTGGATCATGAAACGGCTTGCTTCAGCTCTGCCAAAAGAGGCTTTCACATTCCCGCTGTGTGTTTGGAGAGCTGGAGAGGCAATCTGAGCCATCTGATGAACTCACAGAACACATGCGCAAATTACAAATTCTGTAAGCAAATACAAAAAAATCACACATTGGTGCTAAAATTTTAAATAAATGTCTGTATGAATTAAAGTGTGCCAAAAGTATGAGTTAGCCAAAATAGTGTAAGAGAGTGGAATATCTGGAGTTGATTTCTTGACTGACTAAAGTTTGTGTTAAATGATACTTCCTGGCTGTGTTGTATTTCTTAGTTCTTTCGTTTGTGTTCCGGGGTGTGATTTTACTCAACACCTGTGTTTATTTCGAGAAAAGCACCATTTATACCTTTAGCAACATGAGGGACAGGATATAGTTCTGCCATTGTGTAATTTGTCATTGTGTTCATATTATGATTAATGTTTTGTGTAAAGTTTTTCATGCTCTTCCCGTTGTACGTGTTGCCACTTTTTGGGAAGTTTTTGTGACAAATCCTTTATGTGATTATTACATCTCCGCTCAATCATGCCTTGCAGAATAAGTCATTGCTAATCCCTGATTATGCTAAAAACCTCTTTATCAGCGTATTTTCTAGAACATCTCTATTTTTCAGATCACTAAAATATTTCATTTGCACAGAATCAGTCATTCATTCATTTTCCAACCTTTATTTTTCAACCTTTACCAAGATTATTTCCTTTTGGGGTCAATTTGCACAGATTGACAAGACAAAAGTATTTTCTGTAGGAGTGATTGGTTTTGGATTAAAGTAATGTTTGTTCCTTATTAGAACCAAATATTTGTGTTTTTTAAATGGTTAAAACGGTTAAAATATTATATTGTGATGTCCTTATTGGGTGGTCGCCATGATGTCATCTGCATATATTATCACCAAGGTGATGATGCAGATTAAAGTGTGTTCTAATGATTATTTTGTGTTTTGCGTACCCGCGTTTTTATTCCAACAAATGTTTATAAAAGTATATAATTATAAATGTACAAAGTCGTATCGTGTACAAAAAGTCAAACCTTTGTTACAATGCATCCAGTTCAGAATGCTGCAGCTCGCCTGCTCACTGGAAAAATCATAGAAAATGAAACCGATTATGATTTCCTTGTCTCCTTCGTAAACCATTCTTACGCACAGATTATAATGGGAACCACTACTGAGCAGAGAGGAGCAAGATGCTGTTTCTGAATTACACGATCAATTGAAGACCACTTTACTTTATTCCAAAATGGCAGACTCAGTGACTGAGTACTGTAACACATCCTTTTAACAAACTCTTTCACAATTACTTTAGAACCAAACAAATCTCAGATTAATCACATCTCTGTCATATCTTGGCCCATTTTGGTTTGTGTTTTTGTCCTTTCTTTGTCCCCTGTTCCGTTGTCTCCTGTTCCTTTCATTTTGTCAGTTTTCTCGCTGTTCTCTTATTTTGTCCTTTCCCCTTAGTCTCATGTATTCCTAATATTTTGGCCTCTTCTTTTGCTCCTCATTATCTTCACCTGTTCCTACCGTCTCAGCTCACTCTAGTTTCAGCTTATTGGAGCACTAACAGTATGTTGTAAGAGAATGAATTTTGACAAATGTGTAGGCTACCAAGACTTAAATATAAATATTTTGATTGCATTTTCAAGATATACAGAAAGTTGGCTATTTACTCGTATCGTACTTGAACAAACTCTTATTAGAGAGTTCACCTCCAAACTTAATCCATCGTAATCCAAACTTAATATCGCAAATGTAATGTTAAATTGGGAAACTATGTGCGCACAGCACTCGTCTAAATTTTGCCCTGAACAGGAATTTAATAACTCCTTGCAATGTCCAATTGCAACCTACAGTGTCCACTATAGCGCAACATGAAATATCAAAATGTTCCAGTTCTGTACTGCATTTTCACGCTGTGTTTGAAATCTGGAACAATTATGTAAAGGACCAAGACCTACACAAACTAACAGGAAGTCACTTATTTTGAATTTACTTGAAACATTTAAAACAATTCCAGGCTCCTCCTCCTAGAGATTGTGTATGTTCACCTCCAAACTCCTTCCGACTAGTCTTGAGGTGTGTGGGATGTTAAATTGCAACTGTGTTTGTTTCCACGGTAGCAGTCGAACAGCTGCTTGCAGCTTGAATTATTATTATCTTTTCCGTTGATGTGCTTCTTTGTTTATTTTGTAGTTAGACTAGCTGTGCTGAAAGTTTTGGTATTGAGACTTTTATGTTGTTTATTATTAATAAAGCGATTGAGTTCACATCTTTTCTCACACGTATCGGGAGAGATCCCTGACACCGTCCTTTGTTTGTTCATACTCCACTCTTCCCGCCATTTTAAATATTAGCAATTATTGTAATAAAAAGAATAAAAATTGTCACATTAAGTAAACATGGGGGTGCAGTGAGTAGTGCTGCTGCTCAGAAGGTCATAGGTTACGGGTCAGCCGAGGAGTGCATTCTGGGTATACCCTTTTCTATTATCAAAATCTTATATAGGAGTGAATGATACCCCGCCTTTCACCCAATAGGAGAATCAACATTACCCTAACCGAGAACAAGTAGATAAAAAAAATAGTTAAAGTACCATTATAATGAATAGATTATACGTGTAAAAACGAATAATTCATAAACAAATTCAATCAACATTTGTAAATATTAATAAAGACCTTCAAACCAGAAATTCTCAATATACTGAACATGAATCTTTTGTAAAAGGTACCAGATGTTAGTTTGTGTATCTAGTGAGCCTCTGCTATTTGCTTGATGCAGATTGATGCAGACCACAGATTTACTCATCTTACACTTGTTTTATCAGCTGTTGTGACAAAATAACATCATTGATATTCACAAACAATGATATCACACTTATAGAAGATGCAAATCTGAACATACACAGCAAAACAAACACGCTGACGGGTTTGTGACATTTGCATAGCCCCAGAGAGCTTGGCCTTTCATCAAGTCAAAAAGCACAGTGTTTAACAATGTTTCTGTTTAATCATCAGATATCATTAGCATCAGATATAATGCACGTTTCGTTTACACACCATTTCTCATGATTCTCCTCTTTTACAAGAGCTTTGTTCTTTTATTTGCATTTGCATCTGCATTTCAGCCAAACACACTATGCTTCCCCTAATACTGAAATATTCATTCGGCTTCTCTTAAAACACCAGATGGCTCCCCTACAAGCCTGAAACTACTGCCTGTATGAGAATGTTATACATGTGATTATCATTGTCTTTACAGCATGTGTGTAACGGTAGAGGAAGAGGTCAATTTCAATCTGGCAAAACCATAAACTATATTCTAAACTCATGCAAATTATACTTAATTAATTAGCTGGAGGACCTTTAAAAGATTAAATGATTGATTTGAATTGGGGGATGAACATTTAATGGTTGAATACTTGGTTTTCATATGGTGAACAATCTACGGTTGAATTATTATCTTAATTTGGCCAATAAAAGTTCCATTTTTCTCTACGTCTGACAATAGGACTTTTAGCATAGATCATTGAATCTGGTTCGATTAGGCGCAAGTTATTGAAACTTGATTAATCTTTAATTGGGTGACACGGTGGCACAGGGGTAGTACTGTGGCTTCCAGTTAGAAGGTTGCTGGTTCGAGACCCGCCAGTGACCTTCCTGGAAGGAGTTTGCATGTTCTGCTTGTGTGGGTTTCCTCTGGGTACTCCAGTTTTCCCACAATCCCAAAGACATGCGGTTACGTTAATTGAATAATCTAAATTCCCCTTAGGTGTGAATGTGTGTGTTGCCCTGTGACCCCGAAAAGGGAATAAGCGGGCTGGAAAATGAATGAATAATCTATAGTTATGTCTATAACAAATATGTAATATAAAGCATTGATATTTTCTTTTTCCTCAATTTTGGAAGTTACCAAGCTGTGGATGTCAGTCACTGTGTGAGCTCATTGCGTCCAGTGTGGTCATATTTTCTTTATGTTAGATGTGAGAACTAGTGAAAAGGTCTTAGACATATAGGTCAAGGATATAATTAATGTTGTACCTATAGAATATCAAGTTTAAGAAATACAAATATTGACCAATTTGAATCAAAACAGTTGTGATCTAAGGAGATTTGTAGATCTATGCTAAAGTAAAACCCCCAGACCTGGCACCTCATGAAAATGTGCATGGAAAAGAATGGCTGGAAAAAATTAATCATATATTATTACCCATTTTATAGTGATGTTTTTACTGTGTATTCACAGGTCCTGGATCAGTGCGAAAGCGATAGACTTAACTGAGTATCGACTTGCTGCATTACATAATTTCCTAATGCCAATGGCCAAATAATGATGACAGAAATGAATCTATGGCAGACTCTACTTCGTTCATCACTATCCAGGTTTCCATCCAAAGATAGGAATTGAATGTATGCGCAAAGCTTTAATATTGCATAAAATATTTGAGAATAAAGCACCGTTTCCGAAATTGTCACTTCCTGATAAATGGGTGCCAAAAATCGAAAGAAAATGGAATTTGCTGCTTTTGGAGAAGCCTTTTTACTTGCAACTTAGAAGCCGTTAAGGAAACGCAATATACGCAGTCATGTCATGACTGCTCTTTGGGAGCGCAGTGGGTTAAGACAGATTTGGGAGGTGATAATCCTGAACCACTTTGATGACAGACTTTGGCTAAGGAATTTTAGAATGACCAAAACAACATTTCAGATGATGAGCAATGAAATCGGTCCATTGGTAAGTCCATTAATCCCCCCCATCGCAGCCAAATTCCCACAGAAAAAAACATTGCTATTGCATTATATCTTGGGATTTATTTGGTAAATGCATTCTCATCGTAGTTTATGCATATTTTTCCTTATCGGCTAAAAATGTATTAGTTGTGCACATCATTATTTCAGGCACATTTTCCAAAAATTTGGCCATCTTGGCATTTCCATCCAGGTTTTTAATACGATACGTGCATAAAAATAGGTGGATGGAAATGCTGTTAGAAAATATGAACATAAGTGTGAAAACTGACATACAGCAGGTTTTTGTGCATAAAAGTGTCCCTTTAAGATTCTGAGATTTTTCGCTTGATTCTGCCCATATGGAATCGAGCAAAGAAAGTGAAACAATATACACATATATAAAAAAAACTGTAATATCTCTCAATCCAATCCAAATCCATTACAAGAGATCTGAAATTGAATGACAAAAAAAGTTCAAGGAAAGTGATGATCCTGCAATCTATCCGCATTGACTACTATATTATTCATCTTCCATTCTCATTCCTCATCAGCGATGGACAATGAACAGCTATCAACAGTTCAGAAAATGTGTGTGTGGATATTCTCCGACAGGGAACAAAGGTACAGACGGTGAACGAGTGATGTTCAGCTTTACTGTCAGACTCAGCCACACAAATGCCGCAGCTGCTTTTCTTCACATGGACAAAGACACACGCACACGCGCACACACGCACGCTCTGAGGCTCTACTCTTCATGCAGAAGAGGACAAAGGACAAGATGAAATGGTTGGTCTCCTGTAGTGTAGCTCACAAATCCCCTGCCAGAAGGCTCATGATTACGCAGGAAAATTACTTCAAATACCAAAACAACAATTTTGAAAATAAACCAAAGAAAATGCATTTTTATAAATTATTGATAGTTTTGTACCATCTTGTGAGGCATGTTCCATGTTAAGTGAACGTATTGTTACCTACGTGGAAATTTGTCACTAGAATGTTTATACGTTAAGTTATTAGTAATATAAGTAATAATTGTTTCAGTTGTGCTTGGTTTAATACAACATTATAAAGCATTACATTATACTATATAATTATTCAGAGATGATTGATATTGCGAGTGTGTGTCAGGGGTCATGACGGCTCTTCCCACAGTGCATGGGCGTGAGTTGGTACTAGTGCAGGAGGTGTTCATTGAATTAGCATGTGGCTGTTGTCTGGGCTGCGATGGGAGCCGTCCTGAATCCCAGCTGTCAGCGTGGATGTGAGGCGAGTGCGCAGAAAGAGTTAATCACGTGAGAGAACGGGTTGCAGCCGTTGTGTGGCTGTCTGTACTCTTTCTCAAAAGCACACAATACCCAGAAAGACACATCTCAAGCAGACAAAAATGAAATGATTTGAATGAAACCATGTTCTATATTTCACATTCTTTATCCATTTTCTTTTATATATTGATTATATTTGTTTCACAAATTTAAGGACTATAATTTAACAACTATGATTGATCTTTTTTATATCTGTCTGATATCAATATATGTACTGTATCAATATATGTACTAATAATACATGTGTTCAAAAGCTTAAATGGCTAAAAATAAATATATTTTATATTCATTGTATGTATATTTTTAGATTTTATATATCTCTAACCATTAAGTTTGACATTATTATTGTATTCACATCCCAACTTTTGAGCTTCTGCATTCTCTTGTTAGTCAAGGAGTTAAACTGTTGAATACGGCATAGAGTACGGTACTTTATTTAGAGATGCTTTGCTACCAAATAATATATAAATATCCCTTCATTTTCACCACTAGATTTCATATTATTTTGAATTACCTTGCAAATTATGTGTTATAATTCTTGCGATGTTAATTTAAAACCCCCAAATTTTTTAAACTTACACATTACATTTGAAGTTTTAATTAAACAATAGGTGGGTTGCATCATTCTTACTTAATTCAAAACTGCCACTGTGATTGGCACATGCACCGGTGCATGCACAGACTTTTAGGCACCGGCAGACCCCCGCGACCCCGAAAGGGAATAAGCGGGAATGAAAATGAATGAATGAATGAATAATATTAAACTGCACATCAACAAATGAGTGGAATGCAATTCTGAAAATACCTTCTTTTTTGGAATTGTCAGATGTAGAAATCACTTTTACTTGCTATTTGTTGTATTTTTTATTTCATTTTTTATTTATTTATTTTTTTCACAAATAAATACTGCATTTTGATGGATTGAATGTGAGACATTTTGTTGGGAAAAAATGTCATAGATTTAAAGCATTATGTGGGAAAAAAACTAATATTTTTTTTTTATTTTCTAAATGTAGACTTGTTTATGTTTGAACATTTTACAGTTTGATAAATGTGTTTTTTTTTTGCAGAAGAAAACACCTTTTTTTCAATGTTTAATGTATTGATTTATAGCATGTTGGAACAAAACTGTTCTTGTAGATGTGCGCGTGACACCTATTTATTTCAATATTAACTGAACGATTCACATTTTATTCATCACTGGCACAATACTTTGTAGATATTTAGTTCATCTTATAATAATGTTAACAATTTCAAATGATTAAATGCTTGAAATATCAATGTGATCAGAAAGAAGGCGCATACACGGCCTTAGACAGGATCAAGCATCCATTTCTCAGATACCCCCAGAAGGCCAGAATGGATGGTCATTAAAACCTGCCCTGCAGCTCTTTATTAAACTCATTCCCCTGAGATGCTGAGCTAACACACTGCGCTCCAGAAGAGGCACAAAGAAAGAGCAAACTGACCTGAGAACAGTGAATATCATTCATGGTTTTAGAATGATCAGACACAAACACTTTGACTTCTCCATAAATGATATAAAAGGAAGATCTATCCGATGTACAACTTCATAACAAATAAGTTTTTGTCTAAACTCTAATGGGTGTCCTTTCAGTCTTTGGGACTTTATCTGTCTAAATAAGCATTAAAAATTGCTAAGAAAATTCACTAAGAAAAGTGTACTACATACTATACCTATTGTAAAATGAAGCTATAACATTTACACTTTTTTATATCCGCATAAAACACAGAAAAATAGCCTTTTTTCTTGCCCCCAGTCTCTGATGCTACACGTTACTATAAAATCTAACAATTCTAACAAGATCATTATTTTGCATTGATATATAAATCTTTAATGTTTGTTTAAAATACATGTATTTGAACACACATCTATACTTTCTCACATAAAAAAAAATTACTTTACCCCAAACTTTTTTTTCCATTACTGCCCCCAAAATGGGATTTTCCATAAATCGTTTTTTGATCAGGGGATAACATCGCTTGGATATTTAGAAGGCCATGTGAAGGTACGTTTTCTCAACTTCTTATTTACATATTTTATGATTTTGTGATGATATCTTGGAGTCATCATTTTACTAAAAAAAATTCAGCAATTAAATGAATTAAGTGTAAAAAATTGCACATTTGGTAAAAAAAAAAATGAATTTCCTGTTTCTATGATCATGTTCACCATGTGGCTTTTTAGCATGAATTTTCTGAAGGAAAAAGAGGGTTAAAACAAGACTTAATGGCACCAATCTTTTGATGTTATGTTCAATGTATATAATAAAAAAACATTGTCTGAAGTGAGGGAACATGTGTGCCACATTCATAAAGCTTCATTTTTGTAAAAGTGATAGACTATAATTAAGCCATAATTAATCTGAGTAGCCTAAAGGCAGTAAATAACAGTAGAACATATGAAGCACTGGAGGAATGAACAGAATAGCAGCAAAGGAAGTGTGTTCATGATGCATTTCAAATTTTAGCCACAGAAGAAATTATATTCATGATTTTTGGTGCAGGCTGAAAGAAAAGAAACTTATTTAAGGATGACCTTCTCATCATTATGTTTTATAAACGGGTATGGCTGGTTTCTAG